TTTACTATTTATTTGGAAACGGAGCCCCTGGAGGAAGCTCACACAAATGCGGGCATACATACAGAGCATACAAACTCCATGCAGATAACACCCCAGGTCAGGAACTGAACCCAGGGCCCCAGCGCTACGAGGCAGCACTGCTAGCTGCTGTGTCACCGTGCCACCTAGTAACTCTTAAACACTTTTTTTTCTTATGAACCGAAAACAGAGGCCATGACGACACCCCCCAGAGGGGAATTTTGTCACATGTGTGTTGTTCTTTAAAAGGTGATGTGTGATATAGTGGAACTGTAGAATGGTTTCTATTTACTCGTTTGATACGGATCTAACGACATTTGCAGTTAAATTTCAAATGATTCCCTTAATGAAAAGTTAAATATTTTCAGCAGTTTGCAGTTTGTGAGATGGAAGTGCATAGTACATTTACAGTACTTTCTTTAGTTAGTCTCTTGTATCTTTCATGCTTGTCTTTATTAACTCCAGAACTGCGTGCTGTCATACCCGTTTTAGTTTTGACGGTCCAAATTCTACAGTACATCACCATTTGACAGCCCTTCTCTGAACAAACTGCCGGGGGGTGAACATCATACTTGATTCCACCTTTCCAAAGTGCAGTGTGTGTGATTTAATGCAAATGTGTTTTTTTTTATTTTTATTCTGAACACTTCACATTACTTCTTTGGCAGTAATCCTTTCAGATTTTGCAAGCAGTTTTTGATTTATCTATTCCCGAAAAAACACCACGTAAATCAAAAACCTTAATTTCCCTTAAGAATGCATGTAAAAAGAGGGTGTTTGTGTTCTGGGTCCACTCCTGGCCAGGGGGTTCAACACCCCAATCACTTTTAGCCAGTTATGAAGTTCAGACCATTGCATATAATTGTTTTCAAATGTTTTAATAATTATGAGATGATGGGAGGCAGTGTCACCCAAAAACCACTGTTCACCTGATGTGCATGAAAGTACTCACAGTATATATTAAAAAAGGAGAAGGAAAATTGCATGTTTTACTGTGCATCTTATTCCATGGCAAATAAAACTTCAGAATATTTTTTATTTCCACCATCATCTAGTTTTCTTTTCATAATGCTTCCATACAGGGTTGGTATTTTTCTAGGTTGCATCCGTTTTTCATGCAATTATTTCATGAATCATATGTATTGGAAATACAAATATGAATATTAACTTAAAACGTAGCTAATTAAAAGTATCTTCTCATGCATATCAAAAACAAAAATTAAACTGGCAGAGCAGAAACCATTTTTGGTTTTTCTAGCAGAATGTGACAAACAAGTAGTTCAGTTGGAATACAGTTATTATATGTCATTATAGATGTGAGTACTTTAAAATATTCTTACAGATTAAATTAATCTAACCTAACCTTTTACACTGAATTTCATATATACATTTTTCAGATGTAATTTTTAAAATTAAATTCAGTATTTTGTATTATTCTAAGTTCTTCATATTATTGAAGTTCTTTCTTCAGTACATAGAGCCTTTTGGGCATTTAGCCTACACAAATATATCCGTTAGTTTATTTTATATATTAAAAATTGTGGAAAGCTAGGACTCTGCCTTCCCAGATAAGTCCTTTTAGAGCCTTTATGTAAGATAAATGCTTCATACAAGAAGTGTATAGACATATATTAATGTGCAGAAAGATTGCCAAGTAATGTTTGTACGTACACATGAGTTGTGCAAAGAAAGAACTAGACTAGTACCATGGAGATGCACTTGGTGTGTAGAGTTTTGCACCCACCAGTCAATTTAACTGATCAAGAGAGGAGTGAGAGTGAAACAAGGGAAATGGGTTGCTGAAATGACTATGAAGAAGACTGAAGGTCTCTGGCTGACACTGAATGGATCTCTAAATGAAACGGTAACTATGCTCTTCTAATTAAGCAATGCTAGGGAAGTTAATTCAGGTTGTGAAATTTACTGTGTTGAAATGTAAGCAGCAGGGTAGGTTTTGTACATGTGATTTCTTGTGTGGTCTAACGGCTCTGCAGGTAGAATACCTGCTACACCACAGTTTTGTGAACTGAGATGTACTTCATATGTGTTGTGCTGTTGCCTTTTCGTTCTGTGGTTAATAGTGTAGTAAATAAGAGATCACGTATGCTTGTTTGTCAGCTTCTGTCTTTCAGTAACCCTTTGTGGAGTTACGAAGTTGATGATGTTCATTAATATGGGTATATGCAGTACAACATCTTACAGTGCTGAGACTGTGGTCTGTGAGACTTTGCATCACGGGGGCAACACAGCAGCAGGGTAGTTAGCATTATGGGTCCAGGGTTTGAGTCCTGCTTGGGTCACCTGTCTGTGTAAAGGGCATGTTCTCCCTGGGTTGGCTGTGACTGTAGAGAAAAGGAACAAAGTGAGCCTTATGAGAAGTGGAATGGCCTGCTTTCATCAGAGGCCTGTCTGTTACTGCTTACACTGAGAGGGGTCAAACGTCTTTTAGGAGCTCCAGAATTAAAAGTGCCGCACAACAGAGAAGTGAAGCTCTACCCTTTCCACACTGTTGTCAGTAGGCAGAATATGTGGGATCAAAACCTGCTTGCGCTGTACGTCTGCTGATCATTACCTACAGCTACAGCTTGTGTTGTACATTGTGTAACACATTGTGCGATGGCTTAGAAATCTCAACTTGGATATAAAAGTCAACATTCCTACCTGCTTGAAGCACTTTGTTTGGTGAGTATTTGGTACACTTTGCTAGTGTCTTCAGAACAAATCAGCAGGCGATGCCTTTGGAAAAATGATTGTGTGAAAAAAAATAACTGCAGCAGTAGACTTTTGGAAAAGTTATTATTTATCAGACAAGTGTACTGGCAAGTGAAGGGCTTTGAGAAGATGCAGAAGCCTGTTTATTAGACCTCTAGTGATTAGGGAATGCCAAAGAAAAAGTAGACAGCAGCTTTTTTGTCACAATTTCTGATAGATGGCCACTGAAGAGCACCAAGATCTTAAATGTTCCCCCAAAGGAGCCAAACAATACCTATTTCAAGAATGTTGGCGGCAACTACTTCAGTTTAGATGGAAGGCTTGCTGGGAATTGAACATGCCAAAAAATAGTACTCTGAGATGAACAGATCCTAAAATATTAGTCCAGTCAAAATGAGTAATATTACAGCTGAGACCAGTCAGTAAAAATCATTGGATTATTATGAAATTCCTTGAGTGAAATAGAGGACTAGAAAGAGAATCAAATACTTAAGTGATATTTAGATGTCATGGAACTTTTCCTTTAAGAACATGTTATTTTAGACAAAGAAATCTAGCAGCATTGTAACAAAATAATTACAAAATGAAGTCACCTGCTTACGTCTGTGCCACAGGCAACTCTGTGTAGCTGGTCCAAAAGCATGCAGTCTATTTGAAGACTATTACTCTTAACTCTGCAAAGAAGGAAAACATTAAACACAGATAAGCTAAAGGGGATGGATGAGAAAATGCTCTGTGGTTGTTTTCAGGAAGCTTCAGAAAATAAAAAAGAAAAATGACTGCATTTCCTGAGTTTCCCAGAAACTGTTCTGTCCTCTTTGAAATAGAAATTGCTAACAACAGAAAAGTTTGTGTTACAATTCAATGAGTTTGGCACTCTTTCTAAAATTGGTGATTAAAGTGATTAAACAAAACCCTGTAGAAGATTAATGTAAGCTAGTTTATATTGAGTTTGGCCTGACAGCTTTCTAAATAACAGTTGCCTCCTATGTATAGTGTATTGCCTATGTATTGCTTCCTATTTATACTGACATTTATTCTCACATTTGAGATCTTTTTCATCATCACGTTGTTAAGGGGTAAGAATAAGTGTCCAGATATGTAATGTTTCCAGTCCTAGTAGTAGCAATAATAATTGCTTTTCCATTAATGTAGTGCTTTTCATACCAAAGGACTTTACAGATACACAGCACCTACAGTATCTAATGGGCAGCTCTCATGTACCAGTAGTCCCACTATACAATGGAGGAACATAGTACAAGTTTTTAAGATTAACCACTGTGATTATTCTGACTGCTTGACTAATTTTTTTTTGCCATCTCAAATTGAAACGTAAACTGCAGACCTTAACTGGCAACCGCAACACAGGCTCACTGTCATGGGCAATTTCGGCTGTTGTCTTGTTAGCCGCAACTGTCTTCATTGTGTGCTGAGTAAAAATCCCATCTTAATTGTATCTGGCCAACTCCCAGACCATGGATGTCAAATGGATTCCTGCCTGAAGTCAATAAGTAGCATAACCTGAAATTGAGATTCAGGTCTCTGGATAGTATAGCAAGGTTTTTCCTTTTATGCTTGGACTTTGAAGCCCCATTTAATAGCATGTTAATATCCCAACACAGAATGTCAGCTTTCTTTGCATCTTATGCAAGAAGATCTGTTCCTTTGTAAGATTAATGCAAAACCCCAATGTTAATATTCTAAAATCCATGTTGTAGGCCAACAATGGATTTTTTTAACCAAAGTTCCACATATGTCCTCTGGGGAAAATACAGCAGTGTTTATCAAGTGAATGAAAATGTTTTTTTTTGTTGTTTTGTTCTTTCCTGGTATAGTTTACAGCAATTGGTGATGTGTCACACGATAAAAGCCACAATCTTAGCTAGTTTCAAATAAATGAAAAGTGATATTGTTTCAAGTGTCATTTCATATAATTTCTTTTTCATTAGTCTATTTTTGTTAGACAGTTATACTCTAGAGATAGCAATGGGGAGTATTTGAGTGCCATATGATATATTAACCAGATGTTTTACAGAAGATTCCAAATACTTATACTGATGATTGTAGTTCTGAAGACACATTTGTACTGTATGTTTGTGAATCATTTGATATTGAACCTCAGTACTTTGCATTCTATTTTATTAAAAACACATGGAAAATGATACACAGACAATTTTGTGTGTCCATTGGGTAGCTGTAAAACCTATATGCTTTACAAGGAGGACCATTTGAGTAATGCTAATGACATCTGTTTTTCTTTTTCTTAACAGATCCCAGGATTCTCAGCAGGGATTTTGTGGACGATTGTAGCCAAAGTACATGCAAAAGGTACATTGAATTTTCTAATAGAAAAGCAAACACTTTCTTTTCTTAAAATCAGAGAACTTTTAACAACGGTTTAAATTTTTGATGAGCAAAAAATGTTCAGTATCTACATTGGCTCTGGTGCATGTTAAATTTTCTGTGGAATCAGAAAAATTAGTGAAATAACCCTGTTTCCAGAACATTCAAATGTTAAACCCATTTATTAAGATTTTTTGCAATTTAATAAGGAAATGTGGAAGCCTGTCATTAAGGTCCAACTAGATGTTGGGATAATATTGAGTATCATCCAAAAAGGAGAGCAGGGTAGTCCTGTTGCAAGGTGTGGTCTGTTTCACATTCTGCTTTGTGAAGGGTGTGTGGTGACCAGGAACTAATTGGATCAACTCAGAAGCCTAGCAGATGTTTTATGTTAAAAAATAGAGAGTTAATAGAGAGTTTATAACCACCAAGACAAAATGAACTAATATTAAACTTTTATCTCTCAGTATTTATTGGGTATATATAGGAGTCTCTTAGTTAAATCTTATTGATTTAACAAAAAAAATCAAATGAATAATATTCTTACAACTAAATGGTATAACATTGTTTTTTTCTTGTTTTGTTGTTGTTTCATATATTTGCAAGACATACTTTCATGGTACTCGTATAATGCATGATACCATAAAGTTTGGTTGCTGTAGTTAACAGCAGGTATTTTAGTTCTATGGGTTTTCTTGCCTTAGAAATATGAAGAAGATTAGTATCAAGGATAGAAGTGTTTATCAAGTGAATGAGAATGTTTTTTTTTTGTTTTGTTCTTTCCTGGTATAGTTTACAGCAATTGGTGATGTGTCTCACAATAAAAGCCACACTCTTCAAAGTTTCAAATAAACAAAAAGTGAAATTGTTTCAAGTGTCATTTCAAATAATTTCTTTTTCATTAGTGTATTGTTGCCTAACAGTAATACTCTGAGATAGCAATGGGGAGTATCTGAGTGCCATATGTTATATTAACCAGATGTTTTACAGAAGACTCCAAATACTTATACTGATGATTGTAATTCTAAAGACACATTTCTATGTTTGTGAGTCAAACATTTTGTGTAAAGCTTGTGTAAACATTTTGTGTCAAACATTTTGTGTAAAGGTCGTGTAGAGGTGTACATACTTTTTGTCCAAATTTCCATATTTAATTAAGGTCTAGAATGAGTATAGCATTGAATATTCTGGACTGAAGGTGAGTGATTCAGTTTCTCCTGATCCAGCAGGGATCATCACAAGTGTCCCTGAAGAAGCCCAGCCCTTGGGCTCAATGGGATTGTAGGTTTGAAAATTGTGAAAGGTGTGTTTCTTTCATTGTGTCAACCTGCCGATGTTCTAATAATGAGGTGTGGTACAGTAGAGATGGTGTGGTTATGCAATAGAGTCCATGAAGGAAAGACAGCAGATGAAGTGAGAGGAACCCCAGGCGGGCTGAGAACAGCCCAACTTCTCATTCTCAGTGCGTTTCTGACGTAGAAAGTGGGTTTAATACTGCGTGTCAAAGATGTCTCCCAGTGCACCCTGGGATGACTCATGCTTCATCTCGCTCTTGCCTCGTAAGGTTCCTGACCAGAGCTCAGAGAGGCTTTACTCTTGCCTCGCTGTACAAAGCTGTCGTTGATGCTTCGCACCTGTTCAGAATGCAAGGCTGTTCCTTTCTGAATAAATTCTTCTGAAGGTCAGGTCACGGGAAAATAAGTAAATATAAATAAATCTAACTAAGATGGTTTACATAAAGTGCTACTGAACAGTATCTCATTGAATTTAACTATTAACAGTGACACTTCTGCCATCTTTTTTAATATGAGATCATTGGCAGTTTGTTTTTTACCACATTTTGCAGCTCTGGATGTAAGACATATAAAAATGTTTGTTTATGGCACAGCATTTTAACCCCCACTTCCAGAAACATCACACTCTTTTGTTTTACTTCTGAAATACAAATAATAATATTTGTTTAAATTTGTGTAGGGATTTTTCATCCCGAAGATTTCCATAGCACTTTACATACAGTATATAGTAAGAGGGGTTCCATCAATGAAGTGCAGTACCCACCTGGGTGACACATGGTAGCCTTTAGGAGGAGAAGGGGGAAATGACTTCACCCAGTTAATAAAAGAGAAAATCTAGGAAAGCAGCATTACGCAGTCCCAAAGGTGAAATTTGGACAGTGGGGTTAACATCCCTACTGTGAACAGTGCCAAGTAGTCAGACCCTTAGATGGAGCTCGGTCTCATCCGAAGGAAAACACCTCCTATAGAACAGTGACCCCTGTCAGACATAAGACAGCCAATGTCTTGTCTACCAACACTACTTATAGCAGCAACCTGTTTTTCCTTAGACGTCTCCCATACTAGCATTGACCAAGCCTAAGTTTCTCTCATTCCCGTTTTCTTGCCTTCTGAGATCTGACTACCAAATGGTCACGCTGCTGTAACAATGGCAATATTTTTTGGAAGGTTGAGAATATTCTGAAAAGTAAGTCTAAAATTATTTATGTTTCCTTTTTTATTAAAGCATCTTATTTCTTGGCATCTAGTTTTCACCCACTTTTACAAGAATGTCATTTACCTCTGTTGTGAATATTTCAATCAATCAATTTTGTGCTTGTATAGCACCTTTTCATCAGAGGATTCTCAAGGTACTTCATATTAATTATATATAAAAAGGAACTGTACAGAAGCAGAAGAAGACTAATGCAAAATTGTGTAAATGATGAGATTGAAAGAGAGAATTATGTTAGGAATTGAAGGCCATTGAGAACAAGTACAGTAAGTCTTGAGGCGAGCTTTAAAAACATCAGGAGGTGGTGTGTTTTGAATGTAAGATAAGATAAGATCACTTTATTGGCCATATACAGTACACTTTTTTGCATCAGGAAGTTGTCTTTTCGCATACCCCAACTTGCTCTCCATGAGACAGACAGGGAGAGAAGGTTGGGGTCAGAGCGCAGGGTCAGCCATCAATAAGGCTCCCCTGGAGCAGCTGGGGTTAAGGGCCTTGCTCAGGCACCCAACGGAGTAGGATTCCTCTGCCGGCTGCGGGATACAAACCGCAACCTTCCAGCCACAGGCGCAGATCCTTAGGCACAGAGCCCCCGCTCCGCCCAGAACACACTTCCTGAATATAGTCAGGAAGCGTGTTCCAAGGAAGAGGGGCTGGTGATGAAAAGCCCTGGTCCCCTAACATACGCTGTGAGGTCCTTGGAATGTGAGGAGTCTAGAGGCAGAGGAACAAAGTGAGTGAATGAGGACGAGTGGGGATAGTAACTCTTTAAAGGAAAGGTGCACCGCAGACAGACCATGCAGAATCTGGTACGGCAGGCCAACAAGAGAATTGTTTAAGTCTGTCCTGAAAGAAATTGGTAGCCAGTGCAGATTTTTCAGCACATGAGAAATATGTTGAGATTTTGTAGACCTGGTCAGCACTCGAGCAGCACAGGTACAGTATGGATATACACTAGTTTCTGAAGTAATATCTTGGATGATCCAGCGTTGCTTTCATCTGCTCAAGACTAGACTACTGCATGAACTAATTTCACGGTATCAGTGGGAGAATGAATTCGTCTTAAACGGGATATGTTTCATAAATGGTCGAAGGATGTGTTGCAGACTTGGCGGTCTTGTGATTTGAAAAAGAGGGAAGAGTCAAAAATCACCCCTAAATTTTGTCCATTTCTTCAGTTAATTGTGGGTCACAGTGCAGAAAAGTGCCTGATTTGTGTCCCAAATGCAGGTAGTATTAAAGGAGACTGGTTGTATTTGTGGTTTGGATTTTGCTGCTGTTGAACATTTTGTCTACCCCAGCTATCAGTTTGGGCGATAGGACGTTTTGCGCGATTTATCAGTTATGTCACTTTGTTTCCATTGTTCTGAAGATTAAATTGACTGAATTTCAAACATTAATGAAAATTGTGTGCATTTGATTATTTTCTTATCCTTAATCTTTCCTTGGTCTTCAGTGTTTCCCTATTTTAAAAAATCTTTGAGTTTGTCAAAGATTGTATTCCTTGTGTGACTCTAAGCTCCTCCTACAGACACATTGGTGGACATATTTCACACCGTGTACATGAGAATTGAATTAAAACAGAGCTTCCACCTGTGATCGTTATTTAATGATCCAATTCCAAACCTAGAAGGCTTGTTCGGGTGATAACCATTTTTCTCATTAGATCCTTTGTATGTTGTAGTTGTTATATTTTACTACCATTGAGTTATTACATAAATTCAGAAATCCTCTACATGGTCCTCTTTTATCTTAAAATGCTCTTGATTCCACAAGTTTGAACATGATTTGTGAGCTCTAGAAATGCAAACAAACCTATGTTGTTTTTTAATATTGTTTGAAAACTTCTGGAGCTAGAGCTTTATGTTGATGTGCTTGTTGTTTAATGAATTCTATTCCACTTTCTACTAGGCAGGCTAATACAGTGCATTTCTAAAATCATGATTACATTTTTTTTTTATTTTAGCTTTAAATATTAACACTCTGATTTGGTAGTTTTACTATTTTAATTACATTGTGCACTGTGGGATATGGCAGTTTGAAGAGTGCTATAAAATATTTTTTCATATTGTGCTAATTCAAATGGAAGCAGTTGCTTGATCTGGCCAGTCCATTATACTGACTGTGTAGAGTATTGCATCTTATAGAATAAGAATAGGAACTCATTCAGCCAGATGGTAGATGTTACTAAGGAAAGTTTGCATTGCAGGTCATGCGAAGCTTTTGCACTGATTAATTAGATTTTGATGTGAAAAACATTTAACTTTACCTCATTTATCAGTCATCTTTAGCATTTTAAACCATTTAAGTGTATACATAATCTCTCCAGACATTAATTGACCTGTATTATAGTAATGACTGAGATGTTTAAAGAAATGTATGGTTAGAATAATAAAGAATTTCATTAAAGGTGTAGTGATTTCTATAAAACTAAATATTCAGTAGACTACTATTATTGCTGATTTTAATGGGCATAA